CCCGTTACAACGAGGTGTCGCGCCCGTTACACTTTAAAATGTTAATAAATCTAAATGGATTAAGAAGTGTATTTTCTTTGAATGCGGAAATAATAGGAAACATTCCAAATTTAAATATGCCAAGGCATTTTTAGTCAGTTTAATTAAAAATTTTACACAGTTTCGTGTGAAAGTGGATTACACGCAATTTATCAATTTTATAACGTCGCGCCCGTTACGCTCTTCTTTGGCATTTTCTGGTCGGTACTGATTTATTTATAAAATGTAGTTCATATGAGTTAATTCCTTACTTCTGACAGTATTTTTAGCGTATAATATTTCAATGGTTACTTTAATAGTTTTCTTCAAAATTAAAGAATTATGCACAAAGGTGTCGCGCCCGTTACAATGGAAACTCCCATTTATCATTTTAAGAGCAAATTAAATCAATTAATTTACTGATTACAGTTAAAGAGAAATAAGAAAGTAAACTTTTTTTTCAAAATATTTTTTATGACAAGCTAATGCAAACTAATATTTTCAATGCGCAAAGTTTCACACAAAGTGGTGCTTAAAATATTTGAATATACACATTCACTATAGTTAATGCCATCAATGGAATGATTAATTGCATATTAATACTCAGCATTACGAGCGTCGATTCATCAAAAGAAAACAAACCAAAAACGAAAAACTTTTAGCTTAATACTTTTTTACTGCCTCAACTAAGCATGTGTTCATAAAGAAGAAAAGTGCGAAATATACAAATACTTAAATGAATGCGAAAAAGTATTTGTGAAATTATGTGATTTCAGTCCAAGTTTGAATTACATTCATACATTTGTATAAAAGAGTCTTTAAAATTCCTCGCAGCTGTCATGCATTGTGTACAAGTGCATACATATTTTCGCGCAAATCCATGCATACATATGTATCTATTAGTACTCGTACATACATACCTACATATTTAATACTTAAACTTATTCAATAAACTCAAAAGTGATATCATCATCGTCACCCATAATTACCACCATCACCAAGTATGACATAATTTGTATGTATGTAGTGGATATATACGAGGGCCGATGAATGTATTCTCGGTATCATTATGAAAAACAACTCGAATTAAATTCAATATATTTTTAAATATGTTTCAATATAATCCCCCATAATCTCAATATTTTTATAATATATTGAGATCAATAGTTCAATGCCCTTTAAAAATATCTTTTATCCTTGTCCGAAAAATAAGCGTTATTGCTGCTTTGAGCTCTTCAAGGTCAGAAAGACTTTTTTTTTCAAATTTGGCAACAAAAAGTAATCGCTAGGGGCCGGGTCTGTGCTATACGGCGAGTGATTGATTTCTTCGAAGTCAAAATCTGGTACAGTGGCCTTCGAAATACGCCCGCTGTGTGAACCGAAGTGCTACCGTGAAGAAGTAAACATACACCGGCAGGCAGTAAGTTTTCCGGGTCTTTTTTCTTGAATTGGTCCCTTAAATTATGCAAAGTAACGTTTATGATTTCCCACTTTTTCGTAGAATTCAATTTGCGCATTTTTGCGCCATTTTAATGCACTTCCCGCGGCAGATATTTGTCTATGTACTTCTATATTGATTCTCTAATAAATCTAGCGATTTCGCGTATGATATAGCTCCTGATAGATCGATTAGTTGCGCTACTAGGTGTTTACCGAATATTTTATGCCTAATATTTGAAAGGCCTGGAAAAGGAAATGCGGCTCCTGCCATCGCTAATTAATCAGCGCCGCCTGGCTGTCAGCATGCATTGTTGCTTTACTATTGTATCCGACTCTATTGCATAAGATTTTACAGACTTGAAGGATACCTAGAACTTCTGCTTGAATCTTTTCCCAATCGTAGAGACAGAGCAACACCGAGTTTCTCGGAGTATACTCTCTGCCTGCCTTTCGGTCTCTCCTCCAGACTCTTCTGGATGGGAATAACACTTGCACGTTACAGCTGAAGCCTAGATTACCTACAATATCAACGGCTGAGTGGAAGATCGCCCTATCTCGGCAGCCGGTTCGGAAATGTTCAAAAACACCCAATCGCCGCTGCCGATATATTGAATTTATATTTAGATAGGGCGTTCTTCAACAAAATTTTGAAATAGGGCGTTTTTTAACCATTTTCTGTGAGAGGGCGATATTCCTCTCAGCCGACGAAGTAGTCTGTCATCCTACTTAATTGCATTTCATTTATGATCGACCCATTCCCGCAGTGTCTAGTTTCCCAAAGGTCTGACTCTCTCGAGTCTGAGGGCCGGTTTAGCGCTTCTGTCAGGCAGGATCTTACTTCTGCGCTTACTGCCCTTTGTATACTTTTTAGTTTGCTGACCTTATATTGTTTGCTTAGTTCGGACCACTAGACCAGAGCGCTGTATGTTAATATGGATGTTATCGCGGTATACATCCATAACACAAGTTTAGGCTTTAGTCCCCAATTTCTGCTGAGGATCCTCTTGTAAGTGTTGTATGCTGTGTAGGCCTTCTGCCTTCTGCCTACGAAAGTTCGATATTGATTTCCTATTAAGTTTGCTATCGAGCATTACTCTAAGGTACTTTGCGCTGGGGGGTACTCGTTGATTTTATCTCACAGAGCTCCAAAATATTCTACAACAATCCACTCGCGCTTGTTTTTGCGGCGTCGTGAGCATTCGCGGTACCCACCTTGGACTAACTTTTGAGAGATTAAGATGATCATGAAGAATAGTGTGTATGGCACCTACGGGTATAGGTAGTATTTAATCGCTGCTAATAATTTAACCTTTCGTTATTCGGTCGTCCTCCAGTACAAGTATCTAAACATTTTTCACATTTACCTCTGTAGCAGCAGTAATGACGCCACTTGGGTGCGCGAGGATCATCTTCAATACTCGCTGCCGGTTTAAATTCACTTTACCACTTTTAAATTTTAGATAACGAAGGTGCAAAATCGGTGTGAAAAGTCACAAGTTCTTCGATACTGGGTTTTTCACTTTTTAACACAGCGTGGTGGTCGATTTTCTTCAAAATTGGCGCGTCAGTCATCCAATCTTCTTTCACCGAGGATTACCAGATGACCGTAATTATGCGAAACACTTATGCCGTCAAGTAATGTAACTATTCATTGCAATTATTAAATCGTCCACCTCAGTACTAACTTAGTTACAATGATACCGAGAATACATTGAACGACCCTCGTACTATGTACAGCAACAACAATAATGCTTCTTGCCTTACTCGTATTACAAAGCAATCGCGCCCAAAAAGCCAATACTCGTAGCCCACGAGCCACGTTGCTTGCCGGCCGCACAGATTCATACATTTACTGCAAACAGTCAGCTACAATTGCTACATAACTGCTTGGCTAGCAAGCAGGCAAACAAGTTAATTTGAATCAATGGACAAGTTTCATTAGCCAAAAATGTTATAGCCTTTTTTCGCTCAAATTTGTTTTCCAAATTTGTTTTACATGCAATACACACATGCGTTACAAAGTCGGTATGTTCAACTCCCATGTGCGCCTCTCTACTTAACTATATACATATATACATTAGACCGTACCACCTTACAAGCAAACAAAAAAGTTCAATGTACACCCCTGAGTCTAAAACATTTTTGCAAGGCAATTTCGAAAAAATAAAATAAAAAATTGTGTTTGCCGAAATAGCGTTGTTTTTTGAAACCTATGTATGTACAGTGGCGCTCACCTAAATGGGGATAACAGAAACCATATAAGTCAAAGTTTAAAACTTTGTGTAGAGTTCAGGAAAATTTAACAAATTTCAAATGTCATCAAAATTTTCACTTTTTTTTAATTTTGGTCATCAGTTATATGGGGGAAAAATCAAAACTGCACATTATTATACTAAAATTGAATGGGCTACAAAACTGCATACCCAAAAAGTTTCTAAAAATTCTGATGGAATTTTTTTGTTTGAAATTCGTTAAATTTTCCCGAACTGTACACAAAGTTATAAACTTTGACTTGTATGGTTTATGTTATAGAATCTACTATATTTTTATAAAAAAGTAACGAAAAAAATGTATCACGTGAAAACATTTTTTTTTTTTGAAAACAGTGACTTATAATTTTAGGAGAGTTTTATGTAGATTCAGGGGGGTACGGCGAATTTTTATTACCGGTGCGGTCTAATGTACATATCCACATATAGACTATGATGTAAATACATACATACGTACATACGCACAAGTACATACGCACTTACATACATATTTAAATATTATAATAAAATTTTCCTATCAACATTTTTTATCGGACATATTTTATCTTATTACCATACCCTGTACCTACACGAAAACATACATACATATGTACTATGTACGGCTCCAAGTTGATGCAACTTTCAACGGACTGCATCAGGACTTCAACGAACGTAGAGCTTCGTGCTCAACCCACCTCCCGACGAAATACTTGATGGTGGTAACGGGAGGAGAACGGTACATGTCGGTAGGAGGTTTAGTTTGGGTTAAAGTCTCACACTGACGGGGTTAGGCTTTCGATGCTTCCTCCTCGTTAAAAAAAAAAAACATGTACTATGCATACTTTGAATTTATTTCCTCTTTTTATTATACTTTTCCGAGTCTATGTGTAAAATATTATTGTATCTTTAAATAGCTTATACAATTTTAGTTCTGTTGCTAACGCAAATGTATCTTTTTTTCTATCCACTCTTATGTACTTAGTGTATTATTATTATTTATTTACTTAATTTTATTTGATTTGAATTTATTTTTGGAAGTGAAGTGTGAATTGTTTTTAGTTTATTTTTATCGTCATAATCCTAATTTATTGAAAATAAAAACTTTAGCGCAACATTAAATTCATTTACCATTAAAGAGTTAAATGATATATTTATAGATATCTAAGCGAATACATTTACATACATATGTACATATTTAAATTTCATTGAATTTGGTTTATGAATAATTTATTACAGATACCGACTTCTTGGTGCCAAACTATGATAATGCAGAACATCAGTTAAAAGTATTTGAAATCAGATCACCTCTAGTACTTAGCTGTAATATAACCAAAGCTGGTGATTATGTACTGAAATGGTGAGTTGAATGGTTAATTTGCTAAAAACATAAAACTAAGAATGAATTAAAAATTTTCGTGTTATTAAAAAATTCCAAGGGTCGTTTTTGTGGTAAAAAGTTAACACAAATTCGTCGGAATTTTTCGTAAAATTTTTCGTTTTCGTGGTTTTTTTTTGGTTAAAAATCGAGTGTTAACTGCCGAATGTAAAAACGGCCTTAAGAAACTCAGTACTGTCAACAGGGCTGCCAACTTGGCTCAAACCGTTCCATTTTTTGCGCTATTTTACTTCAAATGGCACTTAATTTTTCAATTTGGCACAAAGTGCCAAGATGGCTTTTTTGAAAAGTAGTAAAATTTCAATACCTTTTGTGAAATCCTTTGCGTGTACTTCTTTTTCTCAACTAAAATTTTTTAATTCCTATAGTGTGTACAATTGGTTTATCTTAGTTTAGCATTGGACTTTTGTTTTAGGAATGTGTTTCTAATTTCAATGCTAAATGAGAAGAATTAAAAAGAATTACCCATTTTTTGACACTTTTATTTTTCTATTTGGCACATTTTGGCACTTTTTTATCTTCAATATGGCACTTCAAAGCTAAGTATAGTTGGCAGCCCTGTCTGTCAAGACCAACTACAGTAGACCCTCAGTAAAAGCAATACCCAATAAATGTTTTTTTGTGAACTTTATTTAAGAGGGTTGCCATATGTTTTAGTAAATAAATTCAACTTGAATTAAGGGAATTAGTCTGCGTTTCACCAGAATCATTTAAGTGAAAATTACTTTAATTTTCAAATTTTTGGTTTCACCAACAATTTTAATTTGTTTTTAATTTTGATTTAAGTGTGACCTATGCTCTTCACTTAAATAAAAATTAAATCAGAATAACCAGACTCAGAGATGTTACACGTTTAATGAATATACACACCACCACAATTTTGTGTATCTGCTCCTTACTTGTATACCAGTCCTGCTTTTACAACACAGCGTGCCAAAGCTTTCAAAAGCTCTCAGTACAAATGAAAGCTTTCGCTCGCCAAGTCGGTTTTACGACCACTTTTTACTCGCCTAAACAAAGAGCTTATTGAAACCGAAAGTAATTTAAATGAGAATTAAATAAAAATATTAAATTGCAGTTAATTTCCACTTAAATTAGTTTGGAGAAACGCAGCCTTAGATACACAATTTAAATATTGTTACGATTATCCTCGAAACCTTGAGGGATTTCCCAAATATACTCGGGTTCGTATCGCTGGATTGTTAAATTAATGCTAACGATGAACAAATTGTAGTACAATTAACTTTATTGTACAACAAACAATTTACAATACTTGCTAATACAGTAAAAACACTTTACAATACTTGTTAAAGCAATAACAACGCTTTACTACTTGTCAACACAATTAAATGTATAGCTTGCTTATTTGCAACTCAATTCTCCGCTCACTTTACTTGTA